AGTACTGTGGGCTACTGGGATTACAGTGTCCAAGGGTGGACCACTGAGTGCTGAGATGCAGGAGCCCTGCCAGGATGGCGTTAGTGAGGCAGACACAGAAGTACAGTGCTCTCGAGTCACAGATGATGAGGAAGAGATGCCACAGGTGGAAAGGCAGGAGATGGAGGATGCCGGGCTTCCCATCACTCCTGGTGTCTGGATAAGCAGTGTCTTAGAGAAAAGGGATGTTACAAGTATAGGAGCTCCCTAACACTTCTGAGGAAGATACTCAGCATCAAGGGAGATATCCTAGGTCAGGACCCTTCAGGCAGTAAATGATCAGGATACTGAAGCTGGGAGGTTGGCTGTGTTCCTCCTCTCAAGGGTTTCTTCAGTGTTCTCTAAGCTTTGGATGCCAATGGGCATCTCCTATTACTTTTCTGGGGGGGGGAGAAATAGCAGAACCCATGTAGGAAAGGAAGGCCTTTGGCATGCTGAGGCTTTGGGAATGCCATGCTGAGATGTGTAACACATTATAGTGGTGTCTGCAACAGCTGAGAGCCTGGAGGGCATCTCTGGACCCCTTTGAGATCCTCGGACAGGTCCTTTGCTGTGATTTGCAGGATGCATCACCCCACAAAGGACAGATCCCCAGCACACTGTGGGGAGCTCATGCGTGGCCAAGGGTTCAACACATCTTCCTTCAGTGTAACCACCTGTAAAATGTAAGATAACCAGCCAGGGTCCCTTCTTAACCCATGGAGGAATGGTGGCCTCTCCAGTGTGTGTTCACCCCATCCCTCCTCAGTGGGTCGTTCTTGCAGAGCCTGTGTCAGCGCTTGGCAAAGCTGTAGAGAAGCCCATTGGAGTTCCCAAGGTTGGGCTCTCTTTGGGGTGAGTGGGTGAGATGAATTCGTTCCTGGCAGCCCATGTGAGGACTCAGAGCTGATATTTGTGAGCAGCTTGCTGATTCGAGGCGTTTTCCCCCCTGTGTGTCTGAAGGGGAAATTACAGCAGCAAGTTCAGGCTACCCAGGCCCACAGAGCTGCTGTCACAGATGCTAGAATTCATAAGCACAGCCGTGGGTGACTCGTGGGTCTCAAAGGACTCCCAGCTGTAAATGCTGACATTGATACACGGGTCATCTTCCATCCTCGAAACACTGTACAAAGTGACAGGCTTCATACAGCCCCAAATGTTGCATGAGTCAGGAAATACCTTGGGGCACGTCTGGCATCGAGGGAAAGCCAAAGGGAAGATGTTTAACCATCTCTCTGGCTTTCTACCAAGCTGAGATGAGCAGCACAGAGTGGCCAGTGTGCGTGGACCCAGGCCTGCTGAAATGAGTACAAAAATACTCAAAAGTTTGATTTTCTTTTTGCCCTTCCCAAAGTGCATTTTTGGGTAATTTCTTAGTTTTTTTAGAGTATTTATTTCTGCGGCTTGGGAAAAGTCCTAGTTTTCAAGAAAATTGGGAAATATTTAGAGCTCTGATTTCCAAGCAGTTCCTCTCAGAGGTGCAGGAGAGGATGGCAAGAGCCTCACAGTGAATGAGAGCAGAGCCTGGAGCATCCTTGTCAGTGGACGCTGGTGCTAAGTGTACGATGGCACCCAGTTTGGGAATCCCAATTTAGAAAGAAACTGAAACACAGCATTTTTAAGGATCTGGCTCAATCCCAGCATATTCAAGCATCTTCCCAGGGTGTCCCACCATCTCTTAGAGCTCCTATGGTCATCTGCTGTAGCACCATTTCGAACCCAACTGTGGGTCTGTCCTCCCACCCAAGGAAACACCACACTGATTCAACACTGTTCTTCCCTCTTGAGCAACGCAGGGCAGTTTGCATTGCTTGCTCTACCAGGATATATGGAAACATGAAGCTGTGGAACAATTAGGGTTGCTTAAGAGAATCGGTCAGCAAAACAAACATGAAATGTTTAGGAGAGCAGGAGCAGCTATGTCCCATGGTGCACACAGCTAACAGGGAGCCTGACCTACTGTGTTACCAGGACTAAACACAACCTTCATCCATAGATGCTGCAAGGAAAACAAGTTTCTCTGCTGCCCCGTGGTGATGCTATGGATGGGGGCCCATGGAACTGGAACTGTTGAGGAAGACCAAGTTGAGTAATGCTGAGTGCTACATCCAATGTGGTGAGGAGGTATCTTTCTAGCTTCACAGCCTGGACAGCTGTAACTCATCTCTTCATCTGCAGGCAGCAGCTGCCAGAAATTCCACTTAATCCTCCCAACCCTCTCAAACCCTTCATAAGAGGCAGGGGAGGCATTACAAACTCTGGTACCTGTGGCTGGTTTTAGCATTGTCCTGCTTGGCCAAGCCATCCTAGTCCACCAACTGAAGAGGGAGAAGTGAGGGTGGTGAGGCACTGGAACAGGTTACCCAAAGAAGTGGTAAGTGCTCCATCCCTGGCAGTGTTCAAGGCCAGGTTGGACAGAGCCTTGGGTGATATGGTCTAGTGTGAGGTGTCCCTGCCCATGGCAGGGCGTTGGAACTGGATGATCTTAAAGTCCTTTCCAACCCAGACCATTCTATGATTCCATGAGTGGGAATATCCTGCTCAACCTGGTGGACCAACCATTCCCTAGAGGAAAACCTCACCTTGGTGGAGGCTGGAGCTCAATACGGGGCAGAAGCAGCATCACTAAATCTTAGAGGGCTTCTTTGTGCATCCCAGGTTTAACGATGCTGACACCCAGCACAGGACCGCTGAGGAATGGCAGAGGCACGAGTTCATGGTGACCATGCCAAGGGCGAGCGTGTCCGGCTCATTGTGGTGGCCAAGCACACGCTGGCTGGGACACGCCACTAGAGGGGGACACAGCCACGTGTAACGTGGCCACTGGCCACCAGCGTGGACCTGTGGGGCAGACTCAGTGGCCCAGTGACCTGATGGCCAGTGTAAGCCATTGCTGTCTTAGACCTTCTGGACCTCTACTGCCCATGGTCATACCCAGCCGTAGGAAGGCAACGTGCAGGTAAAGCTCTCTGGCCCTTTGGTTGACGGTGAAGCCAATGGCTGTGGTGTGGGATGGGGTGGACTTTGCTCTTCACTCTTCCTGCTTGTCGTTGGTGTGACCCTGGAGGTTGGTTGGCATTTTCCAGGTCTTAAAATGCTGAAACCATGCATTGGGTCTGCTCAGTGTGTGGAGTGGGCGTATGGCGTGGTGGGATGTGACCTGTGGGGAAGACCCAAGAATGACTCAAATGAAAAGTAGAGTTTCAAGAGTTTTCTGCTTTATTTTTCCCTTCACTGTGGCAACTCTTTAAGAAGAGCTCACTGATTTTGGGTAACCAGGCTGTATGCTTCTGGTGGTGTGACCTGCAGCCTCCAGCTTCTCTTTCCTTACAGACCTTTTCTTGGGGACTCTTAGCTGCAGTGACTTTTGATGGTTCAGGTGGTTTGATCTTGGATGCACACTGAAGTTGAGACTCAAAAGGTTTTGGAAGAACCTAAAGAAGGATGGGACATGATTCCTACAAAATTGTCATGGGATCAGTGCTTAATTCTTCAGCCAACTTTGAAAACTACATGTTTTTGGATCAAATTCCCCCAAAAAGGTAATTCCTGGGAATGTACAATGCTGCTTATCTGCTCAACTGGGTGTGAGGCAACTGTTAGTGTGGGTGGTGGCAGGGTCTATGTGTTGAATGAAACCAGAGGTGTGATGCCCACCTATAGACACCCAGTAGAAAGAGGACCACAGTGTTCAGAGAGGAATGTAGGGTCCAAGCATGGCATTTGATGCCCTGGGTGCATGTCACATGCTCGTTCAGCATAGATGAATGGGGAAGATTGTCCCTCTGAGCTGCTTGTGAGTGTCAGTGGGACATGAGTGGCTTGGGTGACCTCCTGTAGTATGGACCAGGGTGGTCTGGCTGGATGTGGGACTTGAAAACCACATGTGTTTTTGCATGCATGTGGTGATGGGATTGACTGACTCCAGTGCCTGTCTCCAGCAGTGGCATCTCATGTGTTATATCTAGTCCCATGCAGCATTTATCTTATCCTCAGCAGACCACACAAAAGGTCTGACGATGGTGCCTGATATCAAAGTGAGGGGTGATAACAGGGGATCCTGGTGCCTGCAGGTACATGCAGATATGCAGAACCTCTGCAGAGATGTCTATGGATGGCCACCAAATCCCTCCTGGTTATGTTTTCCTCTGGACAAAGCTGAGGCTGTCAGTAGCAACAGTTTGATGGACAGCTCATCATTTTGTCAAAAACCATGCAACCCCCTGTATTTTCCTCCAGTGTTTTTCAGCCAGCCACTAAAGTTTTGTTTTTCATCTGAAGGCAAAAATGACTCAAAATTCAAACTGGAGCAAATGAGTTTAAACTGGTGGCTTGCAGTTCCCAGGAGATGGTAAGAAGTGAAATTACTTTGCATTGTGTTAGCTAGTTTGCTGAATCTTACAGTAATGTCTCCTACTCAAATGGTAGGTATTCTATTTACGAGATTTATTGCTAACCAAAACCCTCCATAGCAGTGAAATTACTTAGGATTTCTTTAGTATAAATTATTATGGATTTCTGCAATTGATTGCACAATGAATGGCTCTTTTTATCCCTCCGGAGCAATGCAGGGATGGGATTTCACGCCGTTAATTTTTATGGGAGTTCAATGTCAGGGCTCCTCGGGGAGCTTTGAAAATCACAGCCCTTCATTTTTAATTTTCAGTCCTTATAAACAATGCTATTTATTTGGGTGTGCCTGCGAGCTGAGGGCCGGTCACACATTGCCTCTTCGTGGGTCCTGCCAAAGGCTGGATCCTTCTGAGTTTATTGTTGTAGTCTGTAGTTACAAGGGAAGTGCTGAGCCCTGATGCACAACCCGTGCCTCTGCTTGGCTCCAGTTGATGCATCTGGCCAAGGACCCGTGCCTGGACCTATGTAAGGGCTCAGGGATGTGACATGTAAGAGCCAAAAGGGTAGTTTTGGGAGGGGAATTTGTTAGGCCAAGTCTGAGCACCTACAGCAACTGTATGGGCTTGGAGGAGCCTGTGGCCATGCTGGTCCCTGGGAGGGTGCAGGCTCCCAAGCAGACATTGCACGGTGCTGAGCCCCAGGACTTGGGTGTTTGGTTCCATAGAAGTCATGCGGGTGAAGGCTTTGCCATCTGCAGCCAGAGCTGGCACCCAACACCTCCAGCTTTGGGAACGGGAACCCACGCCGTGATCCGCACCTTTGGGAGCGGGAACCCACGCCGTGATCCGCACCTTTGGGAACGGGAACCCACGCCGTGATCCGCACCTTTGGGAGCGGGAACCCACGCCGTGATCCGCACCTTTGGGAACGGGAACCCACGCCGTGATCTGCACCTTTGGGAACGGGAACCCACGCCGTGATCTGCACCTTTGGGAACGGGAACCCACGCTGTGATCTGCACCTTTGGGAATAGGAACCCACGCCGTGATCTGCACCTTTGGGAATGGGAACCCACGCCGTGATCTGCACCTTTGGGAATGGGAACCCACGCCGTGATCCGCACCTTTGGGAACGGGAACCCACGCCGTGATCTGCACCTTTGGGAACGGGAACCCACGCCGTGATCCGCACCTTTGGGAGCGGGAACCCACGCCGTGATCTGCACCTTTGGGAACGGGAACCCACGCCGTGATCCGCACCTTTGGGAACGGGAACCCACGCTGCGATCCGCACCTTTGGGAGCGGGAACCCACGCCGTGATCCGCACCTCTGGGAGCAGGAACCCACGCCGTGATCTGCACCTTTGGGAGCAGGAACGCACACCGTGATCTGCACCTTTGGGAACGGGAACCCACGCCGTGATCCGCACCTTTGGGAGTGGGAACCCACGCTGTGATCGGCACCTTTGGGAGCAGGAACCCACGCTGTGATCCGCACCTTTGGGAGCGGGAACCCACGCCGTGATCTGCACCTTTGGGAGCAGGAACCCACGCTGCGATCCGCACCTTTGGGAACGGGAACCCACGCCGTGATCTGCACCTTTGGGAGCAGGAACCCACGCTGTGATCCGCACCTTTGGGAACGGGAACCCATGCCGTGATCTGCACTTTTCTCAAGAGAAATGGCACTAAACCCATTCATGGTTTGCCTCAGGGGACAGGCACCCGCCCAGCAGTGTCTCCAGCAGCTCCCACTGCAATGACCTTATTGCCCTGACTCACATCTTCCTGGCCCGGCTCCCCCTCTCACTCCCTGCCTGCTCTACCCGCCAGCGGGCAGGGTGCTGGGGGCCCTGGGGCTGCTGGCACCTCCCTCTGCAGTCCTTTGGTGACAGGACCCATTGCCCAGCCTGGAAGCACCGTTTCCATGCTGCCATCCATCTGTGGAGGAGCAGATCTGCCCCACGCTATTGCTTGTAACCAACCCAGCAGCTCTTATCCCTGCAGGAGCTCCGGGCAAACCTAAGGGTGTTTGTACCCAACTGAGTAGTGCCCATGGGTTAAATTCAATTGGGAAGACTAGGAAGGAGGTCCCAAAAAAGAGGCAGCATCATCCCTTGTCCATCAAAAGCAAAGCCCCTGGGTGAGGGTTGTTTCCTGTCCTTCGCAGTTCACCACTCCATTTGCTGTGCCAAGAGGACAATTCGCAGTAGCCCTGGTTTGGGTGGCGAAGGGTTTACAGGGTTCCTCATCCCACCCTGGGTGATAGGAGGGGACCTGGTGACTTGCAAGGAGGGGCTGGAAGCTCCCAGCATCTAAGGCTGGGAGGCAGCGGGATGCAGGGACAAGGTCCTTGGCTGCTCCTTCTGCCCTCTGACAAGGGGCATGTTGCTCTGGAACTTCACACACTGACATGGGACTGGGACTTCAGAGGACTCTGTGTCTTCCTTGCAACAAGGGGCAATGGGGGGAAAGAGCTTGCCCCAAGAAGGGAAACTCGCTTGGAGGCAGCATCCCTGTTGGTCCTGATGGCCCATTAGCTCATACCTGGCTGTGGCAGGCAACACTGAGGTCTGCCAGGCTGGGCTGCTACAGTCCAGAACCCAAGGGAGGCTTTAAGGACCGGGCAGCCTCGAGCATCCCGCATCACCCTGCAGCCCCCCGTGCGCAGCGGTCTCACGTGGGAGACTCTTGGGTGACCCCTTACTGCCAGGTGAGCCCTTGTTTGTGCAGTTGCCCGGCGGATGAGATGTATTTATAGCTGTTGTTAAATCACAGCCGTGCAGCTGAGGGACTGGGCCGCTTCCAAGGACTGCTCACGCCGATGTGGCGGGGGATGGAGGCAGGTTACATATTTACACATTAGTTTAAAATGTGGATTCTTTCCCCCCCGGGGGCCCAGAATGGCTCATAGGCAGCTGCTCCAGCCATCGGCTCGGCTCGTATTTATTTGTGTTTTTCAAACATTTAGTCAGTATTTACACAATAGACGCAATATTAGTAATATCTGCAATAATTTATATGATACCAAATGGGATTTCTCACGGCCAGTGGACTGCCTAGGGACTTGGCCCCTGCTCCTTGTTAAAAGCTTGAAAAAGTACAAATTAACAAGCTGTAAAACAACGTCTTCATAAAAGAGCAGGGAGGGGGGAAAGGCCAGATCCGGAGAGGTGCTGAGTGATTGTGGGAGCCCTGAGGGCCGCTGGGAATGGAGGGTGCTCAACACCTCTGCAATCAGGTCTCTGCTGTCCTGTGAGGAGGAGGAAGGGTCCTGTGGGGCTCTTCTGGGCTGGGCATCACCATTCCTTCCTCTTTGGCATGGTTGGAGCTGGAGCAAACCTAGCACTGGGTGCTGGTGGCACCAGGGATATCCTTTTGCCCTAGTGGCAGTGGTTGAGGGCAGCACACAACCGGGGTGGAAAGCTCCTGGCTTCCCCATCTCCCTCTTCTGTAGGTGCTTGAGATGAGAGGAGGCAGCTAAGCTTTGGGGCAGGGATGGACCCACGGGGCATGTGACAGCATCAATGCCAGTATAGAAACCGGTGCACATCCATCATCTCCATGGCTGGACCCTGCTTCCACCCTGGTCCTCTGGGCATGGTGCTGCTGCAGGGACCAGCAAAGTGACTGCTCACTGCACCTCAGGGGACATTTCCTTGCAAGATAGACTGAAATGAGAATGTACGTGGAGCACCTTCACATAGGCCAATGTTTTCCCATCTTCCTCCTTACCATCAAGAAATGGAAGCACTGCAAGGAGGGTGCTGGGGTTTGATCTTGCTTTTGGGTTATTCCTGAACATTTGGGTTATCTATGAGCAAAAGCTATTTTGCCAAGCCCCTGTGTTGTGCCTCAACTTAGCATTAGACCTCTTTTTATTTCCTAGGTAAGTTTCTTATCTGTGTCTTTCTGTATCTTCCCTAGTATGTGCCCCTTCGTACATGGATGCCCCGTGAGCATCCTTCCCTGCGCCCCTTCCCAAAGGGCCCTATGCAAGCAGCTTGTGCAGCCTCCCACATCTTCATGCAGTGTTGCAGAGCCTTGGTGCATCCTTTGCTCCACTGGAGCCCCTGCAAAGTCCGTGACTTGTGCTAGGTGCAAGTCAGGGTGTGAATACAAGGGGAATAAGGGCATCCTGTGCTGCTGGTGCCATTGCCTCACCTCGTGCCCTGCAGCCAGAGATGTTAGAGCACAGGTTGCTTTCCTCTGCTGAAATTCTCCTGGCATCAGCTTCAACCACCCCCTCGCCCAGCCTCGGAGCCCTGAGGGCAGCTCAGCCCTGGTCCTTTGCTGTCTAGTGTGCAGTGATCACACAGCTCTGCTCATGGGGAGGGTTAGAGAAACAAGCCTTTGGCATCCACCCTGCTTTCTTTTCCCTCTGCATCCCCCCTCCCACCCTTTCGTGATGCCAGGGAATGTCGCCATTTCATCTGTGTCATCCACAGCCATCCTGGCCATCACAGCCCACCCCATGGCTGTCACCTCGTATTGGTCCAAGGGGTTGTCCTCCTCCTCCTCCTCCTCCTCCTCCATCTCCTGCTTTTTGGCCAGAGGTATGTACTGCAGTGGCACGGGTCAGGGTGACAATGGCCTGAGATGATGGCGTGTGGAGGTGGTAGCAAAGGTTTGGGGGATGCAGGGTGGGGTCTTGCAGCATAATGTAACTGCAGGGCACACGGTCCACGGGGGCCGGGAGCGTGAGGAGGCGTGTGTTGTATTTCAAGCAGTTCCACACTGTCTCTGCCTCTGCAGCCACTTGCCATATTCAAACCAGATGCAATATCCGCTTGTCAGCAGCGTAGCGTGCATGGGGGGATTTCATTCATATGTTTTGGACCTATCCCAAGCCAAATAAATGATGGAAAGGCGCAATTAACCCAATCTCAAATCTAATCCGCTCTGAGTGCCTCTCTGTCCCAGGCTCTGCCTGCTCCACGTGGTAGTGACTTGCCTCCCGACATGTGTGAGGAGACGTGGACACTTGGCCAATAAAGTAAATGGTAAGAGCTGGAAATGGGGGACTGGTGATGGTGCTGGGGTAGGCTGAGCCTGAAGTGAAGTGTAGCAGCAGCTTTGCACCAGCCTGTGGATGGGGAAGGTATGACACAAGGCTGGGATCATGAGTGGGAATGGCCCAGGTCACACACACACACACCAGGCCAGGTTGGATGGGGCTTGGAGCAAGCTGCTCCAGTGGAAGGTGTCCCTGCCCATGGAAGTGGTTTGGAACTGGATGAGCTTTAAGGTCAACCTAAACCATTCTGTGATTCCATGATTCCTGAATAATGATGCTCTTTGCCTGAGCTGTCCCGTGCAGGAATGGCTTGGGCTGCTGCTAGGGACACATGTGGCCCTTGTACCAAGCCCCAGCAATGTTCAAGATGTTGCTTTCTCCCTGGGGGCTGGCCAATACAAACACAGATTGTATATGTGGGGCACTCACTCCAAGCCCGCCCTGTCCTTAGAGCCTCTCCTTGCATAGAGGCTGGGCTTTGGTGGGCAGCAACCACCATGGGACCTCCAGCAAGGCTGGGTGATGAGCTGCAGCTGTGTAGCATCTTCTCACCCAGGCCCTTAACACTTAGAGCTGGTCTCCAGGCCCCTCCATGGGTCCTGAACCCCCTGAAGCCTCAACACGCAGTAATGAATGCTCAGAAATACATTGCCCAGGCCTCCTGGATCTGCTGTCCACAGTGAGGACTGGTGCCAGGCCACCTCCCTCAATGACTGTGGATTGCTCTGACAGAGTCACAGGGTGCAGGGGGTTCATCCAGACCAGGCTCGCTGGTGCAGGTCACAGCTGGTATTTCATCCAAACTGGATAAACTTGATTCTTCCCCTGCTGATGCACTGGGCGATGGGAGCAGGAGGGTGGGTGTACTCTGATGTGAAAAGACTCCTCGGCATGATGGTGTGATCAATCCCAATGTGGATTCTCCTAGCATCTCCATGACATATGAATAGAAACTTGTTTCTAAACGGGTGCAGGGACTATTCCACCCTCTCTCTCACACACACAAGATGCCATTGTGTCATCTGCAGCCATGCACATTTTGGTTACAGTCATGCTTGTCCCCATCCGTGTTGCCTTATTTGAAGATGCAAGCACGCTTCCGCCTGGCCACACTGCGGACAAAGTCACAAGCCAAAGTACTTGAATGCCAAAAGTGAGGAGAGCACCAGCTGTGGGTAACCAGGAGAGCCCAGGGCAGGACCGTCTTTGTTGCTCCATCCACTTCCCAGCAGACAAGCCTGTGGATGCAGTATCTAGCTAGTGCTGCGTTCCTTGTACCCCAGCCTTTCCTTCTCATCTTCTCACCTCGTCTCTGCTAGTCTGTTCCTGTAACCCTGTTTCACAAGCTTGCACAGGGAATTCATATGCTCTGCATGCTCCTTAGATGCCATCTGCAAGCAGCATGCTGCAAGAAAGTCTTTACAGATGGGGATGGAGAGGAAGAATGCATCCTTTCTTTGCTAATCCGCTGGCTCCAGCAGAGGGGTCCTGAAGAAAACAGAAAATCTTACAAAATGAGTGCTGGTTGTTGGCCAGACTGCAGTGCCCTTGGTCCATCCTGAGCAGGGCTTCTGGGCATGGCCATGGCTGTTGGGTGGCTTCATGCACACAAGGCAGTGGTTGATGTTGGAGCTTCCTCTTGTGTTTGAGCTATGAGGCCTTGGGTGATATGGTTTAGTGTGAGGTGTTCCTGCCCATGGCAGAGGGGTTGGAACTGGATGATCTTAAGGTCCTTTCTAACCCTAACTATTCTATGAT